CTTTAGTTTGATCGTTTTCGGTCGGGCAGACATTCTCACATGTCATTTTGTCCTTAATGATAACATTTGATTCAATGTTTGAATCTAAAGTAATTGCATCTTTTTTAATTCTATTTGATTCGTTTATTATATTTGTGCTTGTACTAATATTATTAGTCAAGTTAAATGCATTAGCATTGTCAATTTCATTTTTACTATGCTCATCTCTACACAATAAATTAAAACTTCTATCGACATAGGAAGTCAACTTGGACGTATTGCTATCGATTATATGAAATCTAGCGATCGTAGAATCGGAATCAATATGAATACGTCGTCGTTTTATTGGATAACCATCTTGATCACTCAATCGTTTTTTGAAGTTTCTAATGCGTTTATTGCCGTGTTCTTCCTCAGACTCACTATTACATATAAAATCTTCTTCATCCGAGACTTGAAACGATGAAAAATGCACAGTGGGCGCCAAGTCGTTCGGAGAATAAATGCTGGATTCCATGGAATCTATTCCAGAATCACTAGTGCCCGACAGTCTTTGAGGATTGATCGTTGTCACTTCCAAATTATTGTCTCTCGTGCATCGATGCAACCAACCTGGATTCAAATTACGGCTTACGCCAGTCGCATGGCCGTCGGCCAATTGTTGGACAACATTAATGGAGTGTTGTAAAACAGGTTTGCTTTTCTCAAATGTTACTTTCGTCAATTCGCCGAATATAGGCTTTGCCTCATCAACAGCTGTATCTTTATCTGTATCCAACTGGTCTACGCTCGAGATATTTAGAATATTCTCAGATTTATTCTTTATTTTTATCAATGACAGCGATTTTCTCGGGTTTCGTTTAGTAAATGTTGAACTCTCAAACTTATTTCTAGATAATTGAAAGGAAGAAGATTTACCAATCAACAGAGTTTGCTTCTTCTTCGGTATTTGTTCCTTGTTTTTACTAAGATGATTGCCCCAGGCTCCTTCAACATTCATTGAATCCAGTTGGTTGAATGTGTCTTCAATTTCCGTCAAACGTTTGCTATTGTAAGGATTTATATTCTCTGAATCTTTTGTAACTTTTTCTGGACTCAGATTCTTGTCTTGCTTCTGATTATTTACTATCTTTCGCGGTGATTTATTAGAGATATTGTCTTGCATATCGTCGCAGAAAGTAATGTCTGTAAGAGTTTCCTCGAGCGCTCGTGTTTTCAATTTCCAATACATCTTATATGCTTCCTTGATAGATAAATCTGCTTCTTTTATGTCATTCTATTTACAAAAAAGAATTTACAAAAAATAAACATAATTGTTGTAATGCAATGACCAATATAATTGTAATTCAATAATATGTACAGAATGTAGCATTAAAGATGTGTGCGCGCGCGCAGATGCGCATATGTTACAAACTATTGTTTCTAAAACTAAGTAATAAAAATATTTTCTATCATTTGTGTGGTATCAAAAATAATATTGTATTATGATGTTGATTTTTTTCTAGGTGGAGTAACTTCGAAGATCTCCTTCGGTTTTGTTTTCTTAATTAAAATCATATAACTTTATATATATAT